CTGATTATGTGAGACAAAGTTTTTACAGGGGCTTTGTGATTCATATAAAATGAATCAATAGCCTGTAGAAGCACTAGTATTTGAGAGTAAGGACTGGACTGCTATACCTTCATTCATCGTTTTTTGGCCTCACATTTGACTTGAATACTTTGTTATACAGAGAAGTTCTTGTTTGAGTCGATGACTGCAAGTCGCCCAAGTAAATGAACCCAAATCATCAGGCCTCCGCCACCGTGCAGGACAGTTGGTATGAGGTCTTTGTGTTGATATGCTTTTGCTTTATCCTAAATGTGATGCTGTTCATTATGACCAAACAGCTTCACTTCAGTCTCAACGGTCGGACAGTATTGTTCCAGAGGTCTTGTGGCTTGTTCAGATGCAAGTTTGCAAGCTTAAACCATGCGACCAAATTCTCTGGGGAGAAGACGCTTCCTGCTGGCAACCCTTGGCAGCCGTACTTGTTTTGTATTTTTCTGTACTGTCATGAAATTTAACATGGTAACTGATTCCTTTAATATCTGAGCTCAAGGGCAGGTTGCCATTTGGGGTGAGTAAAGTTCAAGTATTTTATTAGTGTGTTGCTTAACATTAATTACCAGATAAATACTGATGCAATTTGCTAATACCAGCATTTGCTAACAATAAAAGGCTCCAGTCTCACTTTTAGCTCCAAAACTCATAATGGCAGATCTTAAAATGCTGACATTGATGTTTCAAACTGTCAACAACCAATGGGTTACATGACGGTGGTTATTCCAACATTTATATACAGTCTATGAGAATAACATATGCACTAAAGAGTAATTATGAAAACCACAAAACCTATGAAAACTGCCATCTTCCTCTGTGGACAGCACCTGCCATTCATGAATCTCGGGTCAGATTAAAAATCATCTTGGGTCAAAGCTGTGTTTAATATCCCTCCGGATCTGGCATTTGTCTCCCTGGAGACTAGTCTTCAAAGCCCACCGTTTAATCAGAGCTGCACAGATTAATGCAGTCCGCTCTTTATTTCCTCTGTGAGCCTGGGTAAATTTCAGCAGTGAAGGCAGCGGCAAAAGATGATAATATGGACATACAGGCAGAAGCATCTCTTATTGGAGGGGAGGGGCATGAAGACCATCACTGGATTCAGGCCAACCAACAGCAGGGGAGCTGAGGGAGGTGAGAATAGAGCCGACGAGTTGAATCTGTTTTTCAATAGATTCGACACCACAGTGTCTGCTCCCACCCCCACAACCTCACCTGCAGTCAGCCTGGAATCCAGAGCCACACCACTGTGCCAGCCTCTCTCTTCACATGTTGCCTCCTGTGAGATTCCTGACACCCCTCCCCCACCCATCACCTTCACTCAATACCAGGTTGAGATGCAAATGAGGAGACTTCACTCAGGCAAGTCTGCTGGACCAGACGGAGTGAGTCCCCTTGTCCTCAAGGCCTGTGCCCCCCAGCTGTGTGGAGTCTTTCATAAACTGTTTATGCTGAGTCTGAGTCTGCAGAGGGTCCCGGTGATGTGGAAGACATCATGCCTCGTCCCTGTACCAAAGACGCCTCGTCCCAGTGGCCCCCAGGATTACAGGCCCGTGGCACTGACCTCCCACATCATGAAGACCCTGGAAAGGCTCATCCTGGACCAGCTGCGACCCATAGTAAGACCACATCTGGATCCCCTTCAGTTCGCTTATCAGCCTCGTCTCGGAACAGAGGACGCCATCATCTACCTGCTCAATCGTGTCTACACCCATCTGGACCAGCCGGCGAGCACTGTGAGGGTCATGTTTTTTGACTTTTCCAGTGCTTTCAACACCATCAGGCCGACCCTCCTGGGTGATAAGTTAGCAGCGATGCAGGTGGATGCTTCTCTGGTGTCCTGGATTGTTGATTACCTGACAGGAAGACCACAATATGTACGTCTCCCACAGTGTGTGTCTGACAAGGTGATCAGCAACACAGGGGCACCACAGGGGACTGTCCTCTCCCCCTTCCTCTTCACCCTCTACACCACAGACTTCAGCCACTGCACAGAGACCTGCCATCTTCAGAAGTTTTCTGATGACTCTGCGGTGGTTGGATGCATCAGCAGGGATGATGAGACAGAGTACCGGGCTGTGGTCGACTCCTTTGTCACGTGGTGTGAGCAGAATCATCTGCAGCTCAACGTGGCAAAGACCAAGGAACTGATCGTGGACTTCAGGAAGACCAGGAAACACTTGACCCCTGTTTCAATTCAGGGGGTCAGTGTTGACATTGTGGAGGACTATAAATACCTTGGAGTACACATTGACAATAAACTGGACTGGGCTAAAAACACCACAGCACTTTACAGGAAGGGCCAGAGTCGTCTCTATTTTTTGAGGCGACTGAGGTCCTTCAACATCTGCCAGAAAATGCTCAGGATTTTCTATGAGTCTGTTGTGGCCAGTGCGATCCTCTATGCTGTTGCATGCTGGGGGAGCAGGCTGAGGGTCGCAGATGCCAACAGACTTAATAAACTGATCCGTAAGGCCAGCAATGTTGTGGGGATGGAGCTGGACTCCCTCAAGGTGGTGTCGGAGAGGCGGATGCTGTCCAAGATAAAGACAATGTTGGATAACACCTCCCACCTACTCCATGACATGCTGGTCAGTCACAGGAGCTCGTTCAGTGAGAGACTGAGATTACCGAAAAGCACCACTGAACGACACAGGAAATCATTCCTGCCTGTGGCCATCTCCCTGTACAACGCATCCACTTAACACACTGTTTGCTGCTACAGCTACACATGTTTCTTCTCCAAATATTTATTTATAAGTGACTTATGTATGTATGTATGTATATATATGTATATATTGTACTATTCTTAGTTAGCGTATTGTCTGTCTTGTCTTAATGTTGGTTTAAAATGGAGCACTGTAACAAAAAATAATTTCCCCCAGGGATCAATAAAGTATTCTGATTCTGATTCTGATTATTCTTATGGGTTTACCGAAGAAAGAGAGGTGAAAGGTCATCTTTATTTAAAAGTCAAAGGTTTACTCCTTTTTATATTTCCATTGTAGCCATAGGCCCAGAAATGCTTGTGAGCTTTAACAGAAAACATGTCTTTAATATCTCCAAAGTCAAACAGATCATGTTTTTTTCCTCTTTTATGTAAAATGAAAAATTCCATCCATTTTTTAACATCATTATCCAATTCAGCGTTACAGTGGGGGCAGGAGTCTGTCCCTGCTCTCACAGGGCAAAGAGGAAGGGTACACCTGTGAACAGAAAACATGATTCTTGTACTTGGCCTATGAGGAACCTAACAGAACTACAAACTACACTTCGTACACCATGTGCGCATGATGGCATCAAAGCTGGACATTAAAGTCGACCGCTGCGCATGTAACGGAGGAATAAACCTAACAAAGCAACTGCTGGAGGAACAGAACAGCTGCATTTCATTACAGGCTGTTGTCATGCAGGCTACGTGGCACGTTTTACCTCGGCTCATAAAAGGATTAGAAGCTCTGTTAAAGTTCTTAGCACCAGCTGTTTTTCATGATCCCAGCATGTTATTGCATGTGCAGCCTGTGTTGAGGCTGAATTGCATCAGTCAACATGCAATAATGGGAACAGAGTTGTGTCACAATGCAGGGTAAACAACAATTTTGATTTTTTCTTCTCGTTTGTTCTGATAAATTTACATAAGTTATCATTACATGACTATCTTTAATACTAAGTAGTGCTGTGTAATACTTTAGTTAGTATTGATCTGATACAAAGTAAATACAGGGCCAGTATTGCAGCTTATGTAGAGAGAGTGTGCAGTGATTTATGAATTTGACTTTCCTCAATAATTAGTTAACGCAACAAAACACACCTTTCAGCTTTCCACATATTTTGAAAACTGGGTTCTGATCCAAAGCAGTTTGGATCATTGTGTTGTTTAAATGTGATATAGGCTATAAATAAAATAAGAGGACAGAACGAAAGTATCGATCTGATACAAATACCACCGTTGGAACCAACTATCAACATCTGGACTGATCCACCTACCTTTAGTGTTAGAACTATGGTATGCCATTGTGTGTGTGATGCAGAATTAGAGTACAGCAGAACTTTGTATGGCTAGGAAAAACCAGGGTACGAAAATTATTTCCAAATCAGAAACTACTGTAAAACCAGGCATCCATGTGCATCACTCATTTTAGTTCGAGGGCCACACGTCTGATCAAGTGTTTTTATATTATGTATAAAAACAATTGTTTTGTTTTTTGATCTTAAGTATAAACACATTCTGAACAACATTTGCCTCAAGGCACTTTATATTGTAGGGAAAAGACCCTACAGCAGGGGTGGGGGAGCTCCAGGCCTCAAGGGCCGGTGTCCTGCAGAGTTTAGATCTCACCATGGATCAAGACACCGGAATCAGATGATTAGCTCATTACCAGGCTTATGGTGAACTTCAAAACATGTTGAAGAGTTAATTTAGCCATTTAAATCTGCTGTGTTGGATCAGGGACATATCTAAAACCTGCAGGACACCGGCCCTTGAGGCCCGAGTTCCCCCACCCCTGACCTACAGTATTGGAAAGGAAAATCAGCAATCACATGACTACACTTGGTGACAGTGGGAAGGAAAAACTCCCTTTTACCAGGAAGAAATGTCCAGTAAAACTAGGCTTGGGGAAAAAAAAAAAAAAAAAAAAAACCCAAGTGGAAATGTGCCAGGATTTGCTTAACCAACTTATCACCAACACTCTGTGGCAATCTAAGCCATAGGTAGCAACTTCATTATTAAAAGGGCTGTAAAGCCGACAAGGATTCAGACAGAAATAATATACGGACAGTGTTAAGTCCAAATATTACACAACCATTTAGTGGGCTGGACTTCCTGCTCATTCACAAATGAGCACGCACACACACCCAAACTGGACCCTGGAAAGAACTCGCCCCTAAATTAACTAAAGCCATCAAATATATGCTTGTTGTTCACATCATCTACATATTCCTAAATAATTAATGCACAACATGAATGGTTAAGTGAGCAAGACCACCAACCATAAAAATGTTAACATTTATTGCTGTTTCTGAATACCCCATTGAAAGCAAAAGCATTCAGAGTATACACAGAAATTGTACAATTAGATATGGTTTCACAAAGGCAGTGAACACATACTGTATTACAATCTACAAAAAAATCTACTTTACAGAAATTTAAAATTCTAAATATCAAAAAGTACAGCTGCAGAAACAAGTGTAGAACTGGAACCAGAAAACTGCTCTGGATATCGGTTGGTGAAACAACATGGTGACATCACAATACAAAGAAAGCATCTGATCTTTGTACTTACAGCTGGTATTTGGAAACTACAACTGGCAGACGAAACTAAACAAAAAACAAATATACGTCAAAATAACTCATTGAAATGATCATAAATTATGTTGGTTTTATGCATCCGAAATATCATTTTACAAAGGACGCCTCTACAAGGTAGACCGTCATAGTACTGTTCAGTAGGATTGGTAGTGTATCAATGGGGGTGGGTTAAACAGGACACGGGGGGGGGGGGGGGGGAATCTCACATCTCTGGTGGAACACACGTTGGTTAGTTGGTTGCCATAGTTTAGGTCAGGAACAGATTTGCTGGTTTGTTTAGCTTACATGTGAAATTCTTAAATAATGAAGATCTGATGCAGCTCTGTTCTGACCCTGGCAGTGTGCTACACTACGGTTAAAGATTACCAATCCTGTAATAATGTCAAAATGGCTGGAGTGAGTGGCATTAAACAACCAGACCACCACAGAACTCAAACAACCCCAGTGAAAGAGACAAAAACAAAAACACAGCTGCAGAAACCAACCCCTTTTAGGGGAAACTTAAAAGCAAACTTAAAAACAGAAGAGAGGAAGATCAATAAAATATTCCAGTTAAAAAGAAGGAAAAGAAAAAAAAATTTTGGGATGCCCACATCAGTGCCAGGTAGCCATTTTGGAGGAGTGTCCAAAGCGTAACGAGGCGTTCTTCTTGTGTTTGAGGTGCTGTCCTCGTTCCCAGTGACAGTCAAGCTGGAGTCAAGGACAAGCTGGTTTATGGTCACACATGGCTGCAAAGGGAGGGGGAGGCTCTCAGTCTAGTCCTGCTCCATAGGCTCCTCGGTGTTCCCAGTGTTTAAGATGGCACTTCCCATATCGCCCTCTGTAGGAGGTTCACTTGTACTGCTGGAGGGAGTGAGAGCTACATCTTCACTGGCCGCTTCTGCTCTCTCCTCTATGCTACAGCTGCTATCGCTGCTGCTACTGCTGCTGATGACTGGGTCACTGTTGCTCTCCTCACTGTCTCTGCTGGTCTCGGGGCTTTCCAGGTCGCCTGTGGGTGCCTGCTGCTCTGTCTGATCCATGTCGCTGCCCTCGTCCTCTGAGCCACACGGCACTTCCCTCTCGGCCTGCTCGGCCTCCTGGCCCGAGTCTGCACATGCATCGGCCGCCGTGCTGCTAGTTGGTTCTGTAAAAAGTGAAAAAGAGCAGAGGAAAAACTAAATCAAAAGTAGCTCCAGAGGGGGAGGGATGCACGCGATCCCAACATTACACTGGCGAGTACAGTATGAAGATATTTACAGAAAGAAAATTATATATTCTTGAGAATTCACTCTCACCTCCAATAATGCTTCTGCATTATAATAAATGAAATGTTACCTTTTGTATCAGTAAATGAACTCTTTATGTGGTTTACATCATTTAAAACTATCCTTTCGTGCCTACAAATAATTCCTTTTTACTTTACTTAACCATCTGTTCAGGTCTTGCTCTACGAGTACACATGCAGAGGTATTTGTAGGCCACTCTGGTCTAAACTACGTAATGCAAGAACCACAGCCACCACATTGTCATTGCAGTAAAAGGTACTGACAGCATCTTCAGGTATCAGCAGACCTGGCCTCTTAAACCTGGATTATATTGTGCTGAGAATACAGCTGGAGACCCAACGGCCAAGTGGTCATTCGTATTATACTCGTTTGATATCTGCTTGAAGTCTGATGCCTGGATTGTAATGCAAGTTCACCACAAAAAAAAACAACAACAACAACAACAACAACAGGCACAGAGACGTCTGCATGAATCCTTTTGCTAACTGCGTAATGACGACATTTACACCAGTGGAACTCGCAGACTTGCGGGTGCAGAGTAATCCCTGCTTCATCGTTAACAAATCCAGCACCACTCGGCCCTCAGCTCGGCTGTCCCTCTCTTCTGCCAGCTGCCCAAATTACACACACTGTGCATCAAATTATATGGTATTAATAGGACATGGGGTCAGTTTTATTTTCAACGCTATTCCTTAGTTAACTAGTTAAACTACAGCTTACATCAATGTAGCGACAATTTGTGAAACTGGACTGGAAACTGGTTACAATCTATATCAATTCCTCAGTCATGATGTTGAATATTGGGCAGTAAAGTCACACTTTACACAGAAAGTACTGCTTGAATTGTTCAACAACCAACAAGAGACACCAAAACATGTGTTTGTGAAAAGTACCCTTGAAAATCTAAAAGCCACAAGTTGTCCCTTTATTGAGATCAAAGAAAAAGTACCAGATGTTCACACCTTACGTGTTATAGTTATATATGTCAGAGTTTAAGCCAACTCTGACTTTGATGCTTCATGTTGCAGTGTAAAGTCAGAGCAAGCATGTCATTTGTAAGAAAGTGAGTAGTCTCGCTTTTCTTTTCTTAAAACATAAAAACAATTACTTTTTAACCAAAATAGTGACAAGCTGTTTTGCCGTACCACGACTTGTTCTCCAGGTTCCCTATGGTAAAGTTCTGAAGCATGTTTTTGAACAAGGTAAACTATCACAAAGCATCTGAGCTGTTTCTGTTTTTAAACTCTGCAATCTGATTGTTAACTGGGGTTGGTTTAGTACGCTAGAAACCTGAACAGCCAATACAGCCAGCACATTTGCACAATCGCTTGTATTTTTCATTATCTACGTTTGTAGAGTCAGCTCGACTTTGTAGCCTCAAACTGCTCAGTACTAAATTTATTGCCTTAACGTCCACAACCAATGAACAAACAGCACTGAAGAACACCTACCTTGGTCTTCAGTGGCAGCAGCACTGCTAGAGGCTTCATCCTCCTTATATGCAACCTTTTCTTCTTCTTCCTCTTCTTGGACCATGGCTTCTGCTTCTTTTGAGTGGCAGGTGGCATCTGAAGGCCTCAATGCATCCACCCCATGCTCCTCCTCTTCATCCTCCTCCTCATCTTCTTCCTCTTCATCCTTGCTGAACTTAAGTCTCTTCACCTCTTGCTGTTCAGCTTCCATGTCCTCTTCTGTTTCATCGTGTTTGTTCTTTACCGAGCTTCCCGGGGATCCGCCTGATGCCGAAACCTCACTAAAAATGAAATAAGAAACCAGAGATACACGTGAGACCAGCAGCTTTGATTGCGCTCCTGGTGTGTTAAGAATTCGGACATACCTGGAATCTTTGTCGCCATCTGGGTCCGTGTCAGTGTCTTTGTTGTCTGTGCTGTCTGGCAGACCATTAGCTGTTAGTGAGCTGGCCAGAGAAACTTTCGGTCTGTTCAGTGGTCGTGGAGTTCCTGGACCATTCACTTTCCTATCACAAAAGCAAACCAAAACAAATAAATAAATGAAAATACATATTTATTTTTTTAAATCAGGTCAATAATCTGTCCTCAACACAACCTCTCTGTAAACGCAGATGTGCTTCCAGGAGGCATTACTCCATTCATTCTATTCACAGCACTGCATCCATTTTTTCTGCAAAAGCATGAAAGAGAAAAAAATATTAATGCATTATTAAAACCCTCTGCATGGACACTGAATGCAGATAAATATTCTATTAAACTCTAAACTTGAACACATCACTTACTCTGAGATTGGATGGACACAGCTTACCACCATTACGTTCTAGAGGGAAATAAAAATTTCTAAAGTTAATCACAGACATTATTAGTTGAAAAATACCTAACTTTTCTGTTCACGTCTTACCTTCTCCACCCCCCGAAGAAACTTATCTGTTCCTGTATAGTTCCTCTTAGGTTCTGTAAGTAGCTCACACAGGCGCTGGATCGTGAATGGGATTCTACAAATGGAAGCAGAGCAACAGATTCACCATACAGTGACCAGGACAAGTGTCCTTCAGAAGGTCCATGAATCTATTTTATGTGGTTCGTAAGTGGGAAGTCACCAGTTATAAAAATCAACAGGGAAGGACAGATAATATTGAGAAACACTGTTCTGAGCTCTAATAGTCTCCCTTTAAGAAATGAGATTCAACTCGGTGTTGATTGATATACCCCCAAATCACAACAGTCACCTCAAGGTGCTTCATACTGTAGAGTAAAGACCCTACACTAATACAGAGAAAACCCCAGCAATCAGGCAACCCCTTACGAGCAAGTTTTATGGCAACAGCGGGAAGGAAAAGCTCCCTTTAAACAGGAAGAAACCTGTGGCAGAACCAGGCTAAGAGAGGGTCCAGTTGGGCAACCAGTTGAAGAGGAGATGAAGAGAAACAAACTTAGTTGGGTACAGCTCTAGTTGAATCAGGTTTTGAACAATCTTTGTACTCTGCTAATTTAATCTAGTTTTACAGCATGGTTTTTCATCTAGAACTGGTCTTATGTGGTCTAGATGGTGCTGAAGGGTTGGAGGTGGGCTAAATCCCAACTCTGAAAGTAGGTTATAAGTAGTAGCATGGTTCCTTTAACTATAGGTTTAACAGCAAAATTGTGCAAATAACTGAACTAGTTGCTCAGTACACTCATTTATTTAAAGCTGCCAACCACAAATTAACTTGAAATGTATCCAAAATTGATGAATAAAAGTACTGTTGACACACATTATGCAAAATTCTGAAAGAAAGTGCAAACTGACTGGCCTGAAAAGACTTGGGCAATAGGAAATGCTTTCACAACAAGCAAAAAAAAACACGAAAGAAAGAAAAAGTGTATATGTGCACATATAACACACAGGGTAACCTTGCTTGGCTTCTCTATTGATACCACTTCTGCCTCACGTGTTCCACTTCAGCTCAGTACCCACCCATTGTATCCCTTCACAATCTTTAGAATTCTCTCTTTCATATCTTCAAATGGAACTGACTCCACATTGGGATTTGCAGGACCTCTTTGCTCAGGTGCTGAGGCTCTGAAGTCATCCATCACTTTCTCCAATTTAAACAGGAAGTAGTTCTTAAATTGAGACCATTGAACCCTAAAGGAAATACAGTGAATAATTAGAAACAGGTCAACACACTGGCAGAAGACATGTTAGAAGCTTAAAACAAGTCAAAGTTCAACATTTCCACCACTGTGACAAATGGCAGATAAATTAGAAACTGCAATGTTGTTAAAGTTAACAGACCTATGCTATATGAAAGAAATGGACCCTTCCACTGTATTTTTACAGTCTGAAATCTACCCCACACTTTTGTATTTTTGCGATTATCTAATAAGACCAGGTAATGTCAGATACCACAAATCATTTTGGAAATCAAATGCAATATTAAAAAAAGGGTCATCCATCCATCCATCCATCCATTCGCTTCCGCTTATCCTTTTTCAGGGTCGCGGGGGGCGCTGGAGCCTATCCCAGCTGTCATAGGGCGAAAGGCGGGGTACACCCTGGACAGGTCGCCAGTCTGTCGCAGGGCTAACACATAGGGACAGACAACCATTCACACTCACATTCACTCGCACATTCACACCTAGTGGCAATTTGGATTATCCAATTAACCTATCCCCACAAGCTGCATGTCTTTGGACGGTGGGAGGAAGCCGGAGTACCCGGAGAGAACCCACGCAAACACGGGGAGAACATGCAAACTCCACACAGAAAGACCCCGGCCTGATGGTGGAATTGAACTCAGGACCTTCTTGCTGTAAGGCAACAGTGCTAACCACCGTGCCACCGTGCCGCCCAAAAAAGGCAAAAAAAGGTCAAAAAAAGGTCAAAAAAAAAAAAAAAAAAAAAGGAAAGGTCAAACAATTTTTAAAAATGTTAAAAAAAAACAAAACTTTATTGATTACTCTGTGAAAAGAGTAATTTTAACATGGCCTTAAAAACATGTCACCCCTAGACTGAATATGTGTTTATGTGTGTAGTACAATTTTTCCAAGGTTAGGTCTAGCTGCAAAAAAAAAAAAAAAAAAAAGGCATTAGGCAAACACTGTGGTTGATGTTTATCTGTTGTGTCAAATCAGTTTGTACTAACTATAAATGTATGAAAGTTAGATACTCCAAAACATCTTTAGCTTGACACCAAAACTACAACCACACACACTGACTAGCTGCTTCAAATCCCTGCAGAGGGCCCTGGACATCTGACACCTCCGTTTGAAAAAGCTCTTACAACACTTACAAAAAGAAAGCTAGTGGTCATTTTGTGTACACCTCTTGTCATTTGCCACCGTTTCCTCCTGCTGGCTTGAGGTGCTGCTGTCTGCACCAGCATGTGGAATTTCTGGTAGCAGGTCAATGCTGACCCACCACAAACAAACTCACTTCCTATCCCCAAAATACAGGTGAATTCCCATCATAGGTCTTTGTTAGTACCTTAAACTTTTCTCATTACAATATTTTAATAATTGTTCTGTTTACCATTTCCTTTTTAATCACCCAACCCCACGTGTTTATTTGGCCCATTTTCTTTAATCTTATGCCTTATGTAAGAATAACTCACTTAGATTTCAACAGTACTTACTACAGGATACTGCAGTAAGAAACCCTTATGATTTTAAATGATCCAATTATAAAAACACATGTTAACTAATATAACAGCAAATTGAAATTACTTATAGTCATGAAAGCTTTGAGCCACACATACTTTAGGCTGTTATCTCAAGTCCAAAAAGTCTATAAAATGTCATCATACAGGGCCTATTTAAAATGATAACACTTGTGTATTTGTGTGTGTGTGTGAGTGAGAGAGAGAGAGAGTAAGAGAGAGAGCAAAGGGATACAATAAATAGGTCTGTAGTTTTCACCTACATGGCATCGCCAGTTTTGGCGATATGGCATAGAAACTGTTCCAGTAGAGGAGATGGCTCCTTCTTTCCTTTCTTGTCGAAATCTGTTAAGATGAAAAATAAAATAAAAAACCCTGAGTGGCTTAACATGACCATTTAACTAGTGGAGGTGCACAGGCTTTGATTTACCTCAGCTTTCCCAACAGTTTTGATAACTCTGCCAATAAACCTGGATATTTTGTTTACTTTCAGTTATAATCTACTCTAGCCGACACGTAAAAAGCTGGTACCAGATCCCTGAGGAGTCACCCTATCTCGTTAAAGTTATCTATTTACATAACCAGTGTTGCTAATTCGCTGGCTAGCCTAAGTCTAGCATGTTAAGTTAGCCAGAAGACCATAGCCGGCAAATAACTGTACAAAAAGCCGGTGACAGTCGTCATATACTTAATACATATCTGTGAGAATATTATCAGTTACTGAGGGCAAATACATAAGAACTTTACAGTAAATCCAAAGGAATAAGTTGTATTTTCTCGTCGTTCTTTCATGACTAAACCATTTCCGTGAAACCGCTTATAATGCTAGCCTTAGCTAACGCTAGCCTCGAGTATCAGCTAGCTAGCGCCATTAGCGTGAGAGATACAATCCGATCATTTGTTACAAAAGAGTAATCTGGGCCGGACACAAATATCGTGTGGTCTCGGCCGATGAAAGAACAAGAGGAATAAACTGAGTATAACCTCTGAGAGCTTCTTGAAGCGAATCAATTTCCATCACGTCGTTGCCCTCTGTCAGTCTTGTAGATGTAAAAAAAAAAAGCAGACTGGCGGCTAGCTGCGGCTGCTAAGCTACAACCTCACAGACAGGCAAAGAGGAGGAAGCATTTTAATATGGCGCCGTGAGGTCACTGCCTGTTCGCTGAAACACACGGGGGGAGACAAGCGCTCCACTTATGAATGGAGGTGGATTTACACAAACAGACGGAGAAAATGAGACAATGTTTTAAGGGGCGACATTCTTTTAACACAATATCGACTTAAAACAGAATTTATACCAAAACAAATTCATCTTAAACATAAAAAAGTATATCAGAAAAATGTGAACCAAACTTGTAATTTAAATGTCTTTATCAGCACAAGTTTTGGATTTATGCTATCCAATACAATGCATGTGCATTTCTTTTTATTCGTGAAAAAAGGCATGGTTGGCTGAATGCCAATCTATTTGCGTTATGTAACATTATGATATACACATTTAGACGTGGGAAATTCAAGCTCAGCTGTATAATTTTTTAATAACAAGTGAATCAGAATGATTTCTATAAAAGTACACTGAACATAAAAAGATGCTGCATGTGAAATATCGATACATTAAGATGCTATGCACAGATACAATCTGGGACTGAGAGGCACTCATCACCATTTGCATACAGAGAATATTTACAAAGATATTTTTCTGAATCATTAGTTATGATACCTGACAATTTAAAATGTCGATTCTAAATATAGATTTTGTATCTTAAGTTAAATTTAGACTAAATTTAGGAGGGGTGTCAAATTTAGGTTTACCCACTGTGAAGCTGTGAACACATGGACCAGATGTGTATATGTGAGTTTGACAGCTGACATTCTTTAATTAACACCATCCCTGCCAATGACAATATATTCCAGCAATATGTTTTGCATATTCTGGGAGGTCTTGGATGATTACTGATTCATAAGTCACTGGAAGGTTTGAAACAATACTCTGACTGAGAAAAAGTCCATAATTTAAGAAATCCTTGATAATATTGTTTATTGTCTCATATATTCTTCCTACATCCAATTGGTCTATGCACACAATGGCCTCTGTAAATAATTTTCAACATATTGCTTACCATTATATGATTTATTCAAGAATACCAGTTACCATTTACAAAGTATGGGAGGTAAAGAAATATATCCTCATGTAAAAACAAAATAATCTTTATTTCTTTACATATTTGTTAAGGGCCCAGACATGGCATCTCAACTCTTAAGAGAAACTGCCTTTTAAAAAAGAAAAGAAAAAAGATATTTCATCGTGTAGACGCTTGTTTACATATTCAATATAGCCTTCAAGTGTGAAAAAAAGGCACATGATAAGCAACAAATCACAATCTACTTTTTTCAGGTTTCTGGAGCCCTGATAAGTGGGTTAAAAGGTCTCCGGGCCTTGAGTTTGACAGACACGATAGAGAGTTAGGTGAGTGTTAGCTTCACTTTCAAATCGCTAAGATTGGGCTGTATTATCATATTTGGATCAAAATATACTGACATCAGATACTTACTGATCTTGTTGAAACAAATCTTCAGTAACCATCGTCTGTACTCTCTCTGTCACCATTTAAAGAATATAATTCATCCCCGTTTATTGTTTCAAACATATTAAAACACAATTGATTATTATGCAGTCATGGTGAAAACAAACAAACACACACAAAAAAGCAACAACAAACATTTGTATTAGGACATAATTAAAACTATCTGGTCTTTAATAGGTCTTAAAATGAGATGAACAACAACACATGACATATTATTATACCGTGTTATTAACAAAAATAAGGCCAAAATGTAGACGCACTGTATAAAAACTAAGGACACCCTTGCTGCTTTCTAGTGGCCAGGTGCTGCTAATGAAATGCATTTGATCATTGATCATCAGCAACCTATATATAAGTTTTGGCAGTTTGCTGGTCTGAGATCAGCAATGTTCTTATAGTAGCAATTGGTGCTCTCCATCAGTCTTGGAAGGGGCCATTTACAAATAATTGTAAGAAAGATTATTTACCAGTGGAAAACATTCATTACAAATACCAGTCTTCCACTGAGTGCACATCCCAAATTCACCCCAAAACAGAATGTGCAATGCTTGGAGGAAGTTAAAAAAACCCAAGCTGTATCTCTACAGGCCTCAGTTAGCATGTTAAATACTAAAGCTCATTGCAGTACAATTAGAAAAAAACACTTGTTTAGTTTTTTTTTCTAATTTTTCTGCAATGAGTTTGTTTGGAATGATTGGCAGGAGAAAGTCTCCTCTCCATAATAAAAACCCCAAAGAAAAACAAGGCAGCACAGCTGATGTTTGGAAGATTGTATCTGAACAAACTATAAGACTTCTGGAACACTGTCTCTTAGACAGATGAGACCAAAGTGGAGGTTTTTGACCACAAGGTACAGCAAACACCAAACAAAGCACCTAATACCAGCTCTCAAGCATGGTGTTGGAGGGGTGATGATTTGGGGTTGTTTTGAAGTCCCAGTCATTGAGCAGACTGTTAACTCCTCTGCATACCAAAGTATTACAGAGTCAAGACCATCTCCAACAACTGAAGCTTAGCCTAAACTGGATCCTGGAACAGGATCAGAGAATGGCTGAAAGAGAAAATAATCAAGGTGTTTTAAATGCCAAGTCAAAGTTCAGACCTGAAACGTACTGAAATTAACAGAAGTGTGCAAACCTCTGAACTGAAGCAACACTGTAATGAAAACTGGGCCATAAGTCCTCCACAACGATGTCGGAGTCGCACAGGAAGTTATTACTGCTACTCAATTTTTTCCACACACGGCTTCTGCCTTTTGGCTTCATTTTTGTTAAATAAACAACACAGAGTGATATGTCACATGTTCCTGTCCTTACTTTAAGACCTGCTCAGAATTAGATACTTTTTTTTCCTTTTATGATGTTGTGATGTGTAAAAACCTCAGAACTGACAGATGCGGTACGTTCTTTTCACCAAGACTATATGAGCATAAATGAGGCTAAGGTAAACTCAGGACATTGCATTGTTTTATTAAGAAACACACGCTGAGTGTACAGCTATTCAGTTTCCAGGTTGAATGATTTGATACATTTGGCGCTTTATACCCCTTTAAAAGCAACTTTAAAATATACAGCCCATGCGTTCATCATTGATCACATGGTACGTACACCACACATCAGATTACAGGCTCGGAGACTCTCAAACACACAAATCTACAGCACTTATTTTCTTCTGCCAGGAAAGAAAACGTCAGACATGAATATTCATACGGTACATGATCTGCTGTGGTTTGACACCTTTTTTTTTTTTCTTCCTTTTTTTCCAAAATCTAGCACTTTTGGTTTTGATTTCAGTCGAGTCGTGTTGTATCTAATGGAGACATATGTGCAACAACAACAACCTTCCAGTCCTAATGTCAAAGTGCATTGTGACATTCAGTATTCAACACAAAAGTCTACATTTCTTCTGCTGTGCTGTGTGTAATACTGTCAGCGGCATTTGGCAACTGCAAAACAGACCACAAACTCATTTACACAGATTCACACTTCAAGTTATTTGCTGATAAAACATTCACAATTTTAGAGGAGTGGTTTATAAATCTACTACTTCAAGGTAGTAACGCTGTCCAAAGTTGACTCTGTGTAGCACATACACATCTCCCTAATGGTTAGGAGGAGAACTTCAAATGCTTGAGAAGAAAAGTAAAAAAAGACAAGACACCTTTGTACAAATCTTGACAAAAACACGGCTTAAATTTGTCTTACACACTTGAGATGAGCTGATACTTTCTAGTTTTCCAACATTCTTATACGTTACATCACTTGTGATGTCAAAATAAAGACGGTTATAAGGCAAACTTATTCGGCGACGTCACTGACCAGCACTGTATGCATAGGGTGATTACTAATTACCAGAGGCTCATAATGTTCATGAGACCCTTATTCCAGAAAGTGTCATGCGCTGAACACTGCAAATGCAGAGCCACCAGTTTCATCTGAGAATCCACAGGGACACCCACTTTCTCCATCAGTTATTTATGTGGCCTGACGTGGCGGACCACTTTGTCCTCAAACACCTTCCTCATTGTCTTTTCGATCTGCTTGAGGAAGACTTGGGGAATCCGACCACAGAGCGTGTTGACCGTCTCCAGGAACTTGGTCTGGATGGGGTAGAAGAGCGACTGGAACATGTTGTCCTCAAAGGGAAACTGCAGAGACGGAGACATCGGCCCATGTCAGTTCCAAACCCAAAGTTTTGTGCGTTTGCGCAGGTTTTTTTTTGTTTGATCTAGAACATATCATAGGCTAAATGATATTTACACATTCGGTTGGCAGGGGTGGGGCGGGCCTCGGTATTAATCATAAATTACGACCCTGCTCGTCTTTAAGAGGCTTATCTCAGCAGAGCAGGGGGGGAACCGACTCTGCTGCCGGAGAAAACAAATTCTAATTTTAAACTGACCCAGATTGTTTCATGAGTGCAAGGGGAGAGAATTTGAAATCACAAAATAAATAGTCATAGCTGTTCTTTTTTTCTGAGCTAAACAATGCTGCTACAGAAACAGGTCTACACACACTTATATGTAGAATTGCTCCTTTAGCAGCTTGTTGGGACACATTTTCATTTGCATGACTTCCATTCTGTATTTTAGCAGCTTTATCAGAGCTAAGCAAGTATTCCTCCGATCATGACGCCAAGCTATGCTACAGCTTTCAGGCCTTATTGCAGCACAATGGAAATTTGTACTGAGCAAGTGCATCTACCTGAATGTGTGTTTTGCTCCAATGAATTTGAGGTATTTTCCAACAACTACCCACATGAGCCTGTGGTGGAAGTGCTATGACCTGTCATTGCTTCAGATCAGATTCAGCAACATTATGTGCCCCAAAAATGAGGTCAGCTGATTGCCTGCACATATTGACGGATCATGTGGTTAGCACCGTTGCCTCACAGCAAGAAGGTCCTGAGTTCAATTCCACCATCAGGCCGGGGTGGAGTTTGCATGGGTTCTTTCCTGGTACTCTGGCTTCCTCCCACAGTCCAAAGACATGTAGTTAGTGGGGATAGGTTAATTGGAAAGTGTAAATTGCCCAAAGGTGTAAATGTGAGTGCGAATGGTTGTCTGTG